ACTGACTCTAAAACATCACTTTGACTTCGGTATGCACATGTACAGACGCAGCGCAATGATCATGATCAATTGACCACAAACATCAACTTCGCATACAGCTATTCTGACACGTTTGCCATGGTCTGTCTCAACAGGCCACCTTCTGAGGTGGAAACCAATACGAAGATCCAAGCTTGGAGATGTCACATAGAACCACTGAAAGAAGGCGGAACAAAACCCATTAAAGAATCGGGGACTCTGTTCTCTAAAGGTTGGCACACTGAGCAGATCCCCTATTCATGGGAGGAGATCGATTGTCATCCCCATCTTCAAAAACGGCCTGCGCAGTCACTGTGACAATCATTTGGGGTATAAAACTCATCCCGCTGGTGTCAAAGATATTAGCGTTCGTTATTTGTCGTAGATTGTTTCAGTTTTTCAGTTTGAACAACCATTAATCACGTACTTTCGTGCACCGGTGTCGGTTGCTGCCTTTTGGCTACCCATTTGGATGAATCATAGGGGAAGGACAAGAAAGTTGAAGGTAGAGTCGAACACAAAATGGAGAAGTTCGATGGTCTAAATTAGCAGAGAAATTGAGAAAATGCAAGAACGCCACTGTTTACAACACCCAGCCATATCACTCAGTATCTAACAATCGGGTACGATCATCCCAAGGTCCCCATCCAGGGAGCCTAACGGGATCTATGTGACCCAGACTCCTGGTCAGGTTTTCCATACCCTCGTGCCAGGTCTTAGCTTGTTCGTAGATGGTAGAAGACGGGTGAGAACCATGCCGGCTGGGCTTCGAGCCGAGTACGATGACCAGATTTCTGGCAATTCCTTCATCGCCGCCCGAATAATCCCCATTCCGGAAAAGTGTCTATAGACAGTGAGCAACCCCGTTATTATTCCACGGTTTCTTCCCTACTCAACCACGTTTGGGCTGGCGATACCAATACAGGCTCGCACTGTTTCCAACTGTCGTTTTGCTGGAACCGTTGGGATACGCCTCGTAAGATCAGGTTAGGTGATAGTTTAGCGAAACACAACACATACTATACATTGTAAAGAACACATATGTTTTACAATAAGTAGTATGCGAGCGAGAGGACGAAATTTCCCTAGAAGAATACAACTTGTTTCGTGGTTCTGGTTGCTCATCAGGAATATATACATCCAATGAAGCGTCAATGGTATGCTACATCAGTTCGACCCGTGGTGCTGGATGATGCAAAGACTAAAGGGATGGAGGGACAGGATAGACTATAGGTTTTCGAACACCGCCGTCCACGCCGCATTGCAGGACTAGGGCGGCACAACAGGACAAGCTAAGCCAAAATTAGACACAGAGTATTAGACCATCACAATTGAGCACTGGAGTGAGTGGTGGATTTTCACAGTCTATGATAGCTGGGGAACGCTACAAGTGTCACCCGAAAGGTTTGTTTAGCCTGTGATGCTTGCCAAGGTAGAAAATGTGGTGACGATAGTCCGGGGTGGTCAAACGAAGACCCGGCGTACGGGTCTGAAACTTCTGATCACCCAAATAGGTAGCCTTAGGCTCCCCGGTTGATGAGCTGGATATTGGTCAATTCAATGGTGAGAGAGCGACATAACTAAAACTGGCAAACAATGACCCCCAAGCGCATACTCTATTTCTTCACAAGTCAGTATATGGGGATATTTTATCTCAATGTTGGTACCGTTTCTAGCCTCCTATTTATTCCTTCGCTTTACTCCTTCAACCAAACTAGCAATCAAAATACAGCAAACAAACACGTCACACAAAAAGACAAATTTAATGGTTTTCTTTTACCGAAAACTGAACAAAAACTCTACCAACAATGAGACACAATCTCCTGGAAACTGAGGACCATTCATTGACACTATCTGCTCTGCTAACTAGGACAAACAGTCGATCGGAGTGCGACTGTCAGATGCAACTTTCTATCATCCGGATAAAACTGGATTTGGAATGTGAGCACCTGATTCCGTTCGATCGGAATCCTCGTTAGACTAAGCAAAAACACTCCAATCTATAAATGTCAGGGTATATGTTACGAATCAAAAGTGAAGCAACGGGAGCACAACGAAACAACTGAGAGCATCAAATGACTAGTGTGACAAAAACCCGGTCACCCTTCGACCAGGGCTCGAGCCAGAGTAATCAGTCATTAGTTTCAGTTTGTACAACCATTAACCGTGGACTTTCGTGCACCGGTTTTGGTTGCTATCTATCGGCTGCCCATTTGGATGAGACTGTAGGAAACAGACAGCAAGGTTGAAAGTTGAATCGATGAGAAAACTCCGAACTACAGTAAACTATGGCCGAAAAGAAATTGAGATGCATGAGCGTCACTGTTTACGATACTCAGCCATATCACTCGGTGTCTCTAACCATCGGTTACGATTATCCCGAGGTCCCCAGCCAGGGAGCCCAACAGGACCTATGTGACCCAGTTTCCTGGTTAGAGTTTTCATACCCTCGTGCCAGGTATTGGTTTGACTACCCTTGACTTTCTCCCACCTGCTACCTGCCTCAGCGAACATTGCTCGCCGTGGCAACCCATTTGGTTGCATGCACAACACATGCCCCAAACAGCGTAATCTATGGCGGTCGACCACTTGCTCCAGTGGGCGACCGCGATTACCCAAAACTCTGCGTCTAACCTCAGTATTGATAGCTCGGTTACCCCCACCAGATTCGAGCAATGCTGTGTAACGAAATTAACCTAGTAGAATTAACCAATGGCTTTCTGTGTTGAGCAAAAATCAGTTTATAATTTCACCTCTTTACTTTGCAATACATTTTCCTCTATGATCCAATGTAAAGATTACCTCGAATGTTGCATTGTCGTATGTAATGATGCTCTAATCACTTCTCTCTCTCTCGCTTCATTTCTGTTTGGTCACAGTCAGCTTAGACCAATACGACTTACCAATGACCCCCTCTGAAAATCTAGCATGTACTCACTGTTAGACTGGACCTTTCCCTGATTGATTTTACTCTCACATCTTTTCCTTTTTCATTTTATTTTGTCAATCGAGGACCCAGGCAGTTAATCAATCTTCCCATATGTATAGTTTCAGACGCCACACAGCTGATCTTTAGTCATCCGTTTCCCCCGGAACAACGGCATCCAAAGGTACCTCGCGAAATGCTCCCGTAAGCGGCCAAGTGTCTCGAATAGCTTCTGCTGAGGAAGCCTTAATCACTGCCTTCTCGGGGGACGGAAGTGTTTTCTCACCAAAGTGGGAGAACAAAAAGCCGACCTCCGAGGCTATAACCGGATGAGTGGATCACTGATAGCCCACCTGGAGGAGTTGGCCAAAAATCCTGATTCCAAACCAACACAGAAGAGATGCACGAACCACACAGTTTTCCGATTATGCCAGTGGTTACCGGCTCGATTGGGTATGAAGGTCTATTGAGCAAGTTGGACGTTTGACCCAGTCCGAAGTGCGTATGATGCGATGAACTGGACACCAGCCCCGAAAAAATGGATTGCGGTTTTCAACCACCATTCCGCTGCGTTGCGGTTCAGGTTTTGCCTAGTTAATGGCTCGAGCTGTGGATTCCTCAAGAAAATTCACTTGCCTTGGCCCTGGCAACCTGGCGATATTCCACCAATCACCACATTATGGGGAGTGCCCTGCCCGATTTCTTCCCACCCGTTAGATCCAAATTTTCAAAATAAGAATAAA